GGAGCCTAGAACTAATATTGACGGGGATACTGCAGGGGATATTAGAACGGTCTCGGATTTTAATTCGGGGTTCGTTCGTGAAATTGACGTTTTAGTACGGGAAGGTTAAGCCGGTGTTTGAACTGCCAGAACTGGTGAGGGATTAGCACGGCATACCGGGTTTGTCGTATCATGATAATTATATTGATGCTTAGAATTGACCTAGGTGAACTAGAATGGCATGATTAGGGGTGTATTAGCTTTTGTGCTATATGTTGAACCCTGGACTGCTGTATGATATTATTGACTTGCCCTAATCGATATGGACCTTGTTTATGCTGATGATTGCATACATGTTGCCATTTGTGGCTTAACTGTTGATATGACTTCATGGTTGTTCGATTAGGTGTTTTGACATGATGTGATACTGTGGTTCTATTTGGATTCACATGTGGGGGAAATAAACTTCTCAGGGTGATATTATGATGTTTAAGGAAGATGACTTGCATGAGGGTTTATCCCGAGGAAGTGCAATTATACGACTCCTGATTTACCTATGTTGAGCCAATTATGGCAAGGTCAATTACATGTGCAAGTAATGAATTATGATTAAGCAAGATGATATATGAATCATGTACAAGGATACCAAATATGAGTGTTGTGGTCTCACGGTCAACTACATAGTAATTAGGGCTCCCTATGCTATTACTCTATTATGATATGTATCATAGTTACACCTCTCATGTGGTGGTGACTGAAGAATTCTTATGAGATATGACCACACCCAGAGCGGTGTCGGGGTATGACTACACCCATAGTGGTGTGGGGTATGTATGACCACATCCGACGGGATGTTGGGGTATGTATGACTACATCTGACGGGATGTGGAGTATGTTTCCCGGGAGAGTTATTAGCATGGGAGTAGCCAGGCGCCTATGAGTAAAACATGATAAGATGCATATGCATAAGTCAAGGTGGTTGAGTCTTTTGCCTATTGGGATGTCGGAGCGCTGAGATCTGATCCTAGTGCTTTGGCTTGTTTGCTAGATGTATGGTAGTGGTATGCTATGTTATGAATTCACGATGCTATGATTATCTCACTCAGCTATGAGCTGACCCTCTTTTATTCTTCTTCTCTGCTTATGCCATGTGTAAGCAAATCATCAGCAGCAGTAGATAGGTGTATAGGTGGGAGCTGAGCAAGAGATGAAGGCAAGATGAGGTATGGTCTTCAACCATTCTGTGCTTGGACTACTACTCGGGATTTTGGCCAGTGATCCACACCTTTTTGTAAAAATGTTTTGAGATCGTTTTTCATGTGCATACTAGCTTCTGATGTAGTGTGAGATATCCACAGGTGTGGAAAGTTGATGATATGTGTATATGTTGTGTAACTGTGTTAGTTGTGACGATTATGGTATGTATAAGTTTGGTATGCAGTTGTGTAGTATGAAACTGTGACTATGGCTATGAAAGTCCATGTATATGGTTGTTAGTATATATGTTTTTCATTGAATGCATGGATTCAGATAAATTATTTTGCAGGTTTTAGTTAAAAGAACTGTTAGCCCATTACGCGAGTAATTCATGTCAAAATTTTATTTGGGTAAATTTTGATAATTAATGTAACACCCGAGATTAATTCCGCTGTAATTGTATGAACAATATGATTAGGCAAAACGTATAGGGTAGGGTGTTACATTGAAACAGGAAGAGTACTTGATTGAGGCACTGCAATACCACCTACGCCTTATTAAGGGGGTCCAACATGCAAGCTAAGAAGGTCATACCCAATTTTCGCACACCTGGCCCTGCAGAGGTGACTCATATGTTGGATGGAGGTTATGCGTTCTATCATTGCTCGGGAGGGTATTCTGGATACCTTTCCATACCCATTGGTTGAAAGCTCCATGAATGTCAGGTTGAGGACGTTAAACAAGCGCTTCTTGGGAGGCAACCCAAGGTAAGTTTTCTTTTCTTTATTTTTCTTTTTCGTTGTGTCAAACCCGTGCATATTTAGATTAGGAGTTGAATATTAGGGACAATGTTCCATCATGAGTGTGGGGTGGTGAGTCTTAGTGTTGTTTGTCCCTGTTGCATGTGGTAAAAACAAAAAAAAAAACCCAAAAAAAATTGCCATAGGTTGAGCATAGCCAAACTGCATGCAGTTTGCTTGTGTTGGTGCAGTCTGCCTGTGCAAAGCTAATGGCTAAAAAACACCTAAAAATCAGAAAAATTAAAAACAAAACCTTGTACTCTTGTGGTAACATGATGTAAATGACCGTGATGCGTGTGAAGTGAGTTTGTGCTTGAAAGAAATCATCAAAATCACCCCACTAGTGTTGAATTGCAAAGTTCTTCACAATGAGCTTGATCGTTTGACTGACTTGATATGCTTTGAATGAGCAAACTCTTTTAGAAACACTCTATTTTGCGAGGATAGTGTAATGCCTTATGGTGAAGTGGTTAGGTGGAGAACATTGACCATTCGACATGTTTGGAAACCGTGCTTACTTGCATTTGTTGTGAGCTTTTGACTTTGCATTGAGGCTCTCTGTTTTGATCGTTTTATGATGGGGTGAACTGTATCTTTATAAAAGAAAACACTACCTGACAAGTAAAATATAAGAAGTTTCCATAACAATTTAAGTGTGGGTAAAAATGTAAAAATCGTTTGAGGCAATCACTCATTGCACATGGGGATTAGGAAAGATTCAATTGAGAATCGGTTCGCGATCGTACGATATTGCTTATCAAGTACAATCCCCAGTTGAGTGAAGTGCCATTAGAGGATGTGTAGTGACCCTCCACACGGACCGACGAAAAGGAGTTAAAAGAAGCTCTTATGCGACTGCTAAGAAGCAGAAATTGCTCTTGCTCGGTCACCGGTAGTAAGAAACAAATCCCACTTGTACTAAATACGACCACTCGGCAAGCAAAATCAAAAAGAGAGAAAGCTCTCCTTGTCAGCAAAGGTAGTGATGTGCTTAAAGTTAAAATAAAGTTTGCTAAAGGCTTCCCCCATTAGTTTTTGAGACTCATGCTTTGTTAATTGCTTATGATTGGTGTGAGTAAGCCAGATTGTCCTCACGAGATATGCACCTCACTGATGTGGTTAGATTCTCCTAATAGCTGTTACACCATAAGTTGTTAATCACCCACTACTGACGATCGAAATTGAGTGTTGCTATTTGAGTTTTTGATGGATTTGAGTCAGTCAATTTTTAAAGGGTTGCAAGACCTTGAGTGTGGAGTGAAAATTTATGATCATTAAAGCACAACTCATCCATTGAGAAAGAAACTACTGATTACAACAAGAGTACAAGGATAAATTTCTGGTGTTAATGGTTGTGTTCTGTGGGTTGTGTGTTCTGAGCAAGGTTGCTCCTGTGTGGTCTGTGTTATGTTTCCTCCAATTACTGTTCTCTTACCTGAGTCGTTGCTTAGGGACAAGCAAGTATTGAGTGTGGGATTGTGATAATTGTCGAAAACATATAAATTCCATGTGCTTAATGTGATTATTTCATAATATGTTTGAGACATATAATGCTTGTTTTAAGGCCAACTGAATCTGGAATGGTTATAAGGCCATTGCCGCCATGTGTTAGTATTGTGATATATTTAGGTAGTAAAGCAATGAAATGTGGTTGCACAAGCAGATTGCAGTAGCACAGGCAAATGAAAAGAGAAACACAAGAAGAACTTTGGAGCGAACTAAATTAATTGGACCGAACTTGGATCGATCCGGAGATCCAATTATTTTTCTTTCTTTCCCCGGGACTTGGAAAAGGGATTAATTCCCTTTGGGCCAAAGTAAAGGAAGCTGGGCCGGGAAATATTGGGCGAGGGAGAGGTCCAATTAATTGGACACGGAATTGAGAGCATCTGGGGAACAAGGAGGGTCGCGTGGAGAGGAGGATATCTCTGGGGGAAAAGAATTCTTTTTGGGGATTAATAAAAAGTGGGCGGCTGGGATTTATCGGAAAAAGAAGAGAGACATCAGAGGAGGAGGCGGAAAAGAAATCTCGGTTGGGCGAAATAAAAAGGAGAGGGCGCAACAAGCTTGGGACGCGAGATCGAGCGGCAAGTGGTGATCGAGCTTCCCAAGGCGGTTTAAGCTGCATTCAATAAGAACGATTAATTTGGAACATGATGAAAAAAAACCCTAGTTGTTTATTGTTGATTTAGAACATGATGAAAAAAACCCTATTGTTTTATCTCAGTTTCGTCATGAACTAAACCCCGATTTCTGGGGGAAACACCATATGATATAGCTATTTCTATATTTGATGGATTGATTCATAATTCTTTTCTTCCCATCTCTATTGCATGAAATTACTTAATGCCTTGTGTTGGCTGGCCACCAATACAACGATTTGTTGTTAATTAGGTTATTAGCGACAGTGAAACCCTAATAACTGAACCTGTTTCATGTGACATAGTAACTTATCGAAGCGATAGTGGATTAAATAAGGGACTATGCGGTCTTGATTGGGATATCGTTCTTCAGGGTAAATAGTTAATTCATTGAGCTATGACAGTAGGATTTGAATTAACTGTTTAGTATGTAGTATTCCCGACAGGGATAGCTAGGACATTCGTGATATCCTGGCTGTAGAGATATGGATTAAATTGATTAGAATATGTGAATTGATCTGGATAGGATAGGTAGTGAATCCCGGTGTTTCTCCCAGAGCTTCTCCCATTGAATTTCTCCCGACAAGTTTACTTTGCTTAATTAGTTTAATTATTTTGCTATTAGTTAATAATCTCATCAACCAAACCATTTTTCACCTATAATTTGCTCCATAGAATCGGTATATCATAAGGTTGTACTAGTCCCTGAGAGACGATACCCGGACTTTCTGGTTTACTACGAGACAGGAAATTGACATATACGCTTTTGCCCTATCATTCGCCAAGGTTTGTGAATTGACCAAACATAATATCTAATAATGTAGGCCCCGTCTATGTAAGTTGTTGGGCATTAAGAAAAACAAAGAAACTAATAACTCAATTAGATACTTTTTGTTTTTTATTCCAACATACAATTAGGTGGTCCCAAACACAAAAGTAATTGTCTCGGACAGGAGGAGTGAGTTAGTAGGTTGTCATCCCACTTCCACGCACAAAAGGAATGAAGGATATGGGTTCAGAGAGTAAATTGCCTAGAATAAACTTCAAATGTCTGTGAGCAAGTCAACTGAGGCTCCTGCAAGTGTCCATTTAGAAAAAAAGTCATCAGTGAGCCAAAAAAGAGGAGCAAAATATATACATGTCAGATCGGAGGGTGAGAAGATAGCCAAGGGTACATTTAGAAAAATATATACGTCTATATATATATATATATATATATAGACGTACCTGTTTTAGCTGTGTGCTAAAGAGTGTGTTGTTTAGGAGGGAAGCAATAGGGCCGGTAAGGCGCAAGCCACCAGATCTGGCGAGTTGGATGGCTTGGCGCATAGCGGTTAGAAGGCGCCCGTAACTGAGACCGGGCTCATTGTGCACCGCTTGGATGAAGCTGTACGTCAGTGCTCCCGTCGATATATTCCCCGTCATTGCCTAAACGTACGTACAGAAGCATCGAAATCGAACTACTTTAATTTGTTTTCTAGCAAGAAAGCTAAGAAATAAACAGTACGTATACGTATTTTGTGATCATGGGGTTGAGAGGGTGAAGTCGTCTCACAGTGGTGTCGGCACTGGTTTCATCGTCATTACAAGCGCTGAAGCAAATGGCTAAACCTCCGCTGGTGTCTTTGGTAGCGTAATATGGTGACGGCCGCCTGTGATCGGCCCACGTGTATTGCCCATCCCTGTTGGATAGTTATGATACAATCAATGTAGCCGATAAATAATAACCAAGGAACATGCAACGTACGTACGTATATCATGACTGGTAATTCAATTTTCATCATGCAGCTGGCATACGAATACGCCGACCTGTTCATTCGGCAGGCAAATGGCAGGTCAAGGAGCGTGGCACTGTAGCAGGAATCGATAATAGCGTGAAGAGTGGCAGCACGGGGCAAGGGCCTGACGATGGTGGCGTTGACCTCGTCGTCGATGATCATCCCCTCGGTCTCGAAGTCGAGAGGGCACAAGGTCTCGTCAAAGCCGTCCACCTCGTCCAAGTCGTAGTCGCGCTGCCGGGAGCCATGGCCGGAGAAATGGAACACCAGCGAGTCCCCAGCCTGGCACCCTTGCACCAGCCACCTTAGCCCCATCCTTATGTTCTCCTTTGTCGGAATCCGCATCGGGTTTGTTTCATCTTCTGCTACCCCATCAGTTTAGTTATATATATGCCTCTCAAATTTATTATGAAAATAATTATGCATGCATGCTATCATCAGCTAACTTACGCCAGCTGATCATGATTAACTATTGTGAGTCACGATTAGGCAATTGGAAGCAGGCTTTAGTGCAACTAGTGAGCCAAGGGAAGAAGAAAGGAGATAGCTCGCCGCGTCTTTCTGTTCTTCCCTCAATTTGGAATTATAAATGATCACAACTTTCGGTTAGAAACTTGCTTCTCCTCATTGCTCATTTTCTTCGATTGATCATCTGTCCTCCTACTTTTCACCGTCGACGACTGTCAGCACCTAGCAGTCATAAGTCAATAACTTCCTTGCCGCTCCATCCTTCGATATGCTCTATACCTTACCGCCAGCGAAGGATCTTGGGGGCCGCCACCGGGCCACGACCCAGCCCTCCCCGGATCCAAAGCTCGTATGGTACTTGTACATTTTTTATTTTGGATCTGTATTTCAATGTTTATATGGTTACAGCTCAACCTTCTACACCGTCCAATGTGGCCTAGTGCTCTAACTTGTTCTGGGTCCGCCGCTACTTACCGCTCTTCATCATCACTGACTATCAGTACCAAGTAGCCACAAGCTTCTCTTTTGCTCTATTTTCTTGTGTCCTGACTCTCTACCCTGATGCTCTTTGTTGTTGCTGACTACCAGCACCCAATATCCACAAGTTATTAGTCCCGACTCATGATTCTACAGTTTCTAAATCATCCTTCTTCTCCTCTCTGACAAGAATTAACTTTTCTTTCTACTAAAAATAGCTATGACATCGTAAGAGAGTGGTATAAGATTCATAATTAACATTCTCCAAACAACTCGAGTTATTTGGAGCAGCTGGTTTATAACATGGTATCAAATTTGATTTGATTAAGTGGTGTGTGTACAAATCTCTACGACCCCCTAACAGTTGAGTTAAGAACAAGATATGATAAGCCTACGCATACTTAAAGCTCATGGGATTACTTTCATTTGAGGAAACATAATGGGGCCAACTGATTTATTAGAGGTATTAGTAATATATTATTATTATGATTGTTATATATGCACTACTTAATTAGTTGAATTGGACATGAACATAAGGCCAAAGGAAAACAGAAGCGATTGCTACATATAGATGGATGCATGGGAGTGGGAGGGTCATACATACATACCCGTGAGCATGAGAATGGAATCGGGAGGGAAGCCGCACTTGTGAAGCAGGAAATACCTCATGCACTTCACATCGTTAATACTGCCTTTGATTTGGTACCTTTTCCCTCGGTAGCCGACACCGCACAGCAGCGCCTTCTTCCTTCCGTAGGGCAAACTAGGCGGCGGCGGCGGCGGAGGGCGCAGTAGTGGCGGCAGAGAGCTAGCATAGCCGCCGCCACCGTAGTACGGCGGCCGGTAGGTGGGCGCCGCCAGCTGCAAGTCAAGAGGGGGCCGAGTGGGAGCCCTTGTGATGCCTTGGCAGACTGCACACTGGAAGCTCTGAGAATCCGATGGAACCATTAGCTTCAACCCGCACCACCCGCATCTTTCCTTCCTGCGGCTCCCCATTACTCTGTCTTTTTTTTTTTTTTTTTTTTGGATCAATTGGGGAGGATTGTTTCTTGCACAAAGTGCATCGATCTACTTCAGCTTCATGTTTTGTAGTTTACCTATACCATTGGTTTGCTCGCCTTTTCTCAATTTTGGACGACTATTATTGGTCCTTCCGTTCCGTGTATATATTCCTCCCTCCCTTCCGTGGATCTAAAGAAGAAAGTGAAGAAGATGAACCAGATCCTCTGTTTTCCGCCAAGGCATGTGATTCTCCACTACCACTACCACTACGTGTGGCCTTGAATGAATATAATGCTCAAAGTCTCATCGCTTTAAAGCATTTCAGAACTTGCATTGCAATTTGCACATACGTGTGCTTCTGTTTTTCTTTTTCCTTTTTCGCCATTGAAAATATGCCTAGTTCGTATATTTAAAAGTCAAGAATTATTAAGCCACAAGTACAAAAATTACCAAAAACCGAAAAACACTGTTCATTACGAAAAAATCGCGTGACACTGTTCACGGAGTGTGTTGGTGATTGTCTGCGGTCCAATCTACATGAGCTTAAGTTTGCCCATGTGTAATTATTTTGGGCGGGCCAAACATAACCGTTGATGTTATTTTTATTGTGCCAGATGCATGGTCTCACAAAAACACACTTACACGTAATCGGTGGCCCCTTTAAAAAACGCTTCTCGATGCTATCTTTTCTCTCACCTCCCAAGACCACAGAACGGATCCCTCCAAACCTTTTTCCCTTCTTTTCTCTCCCATCACCACCTCCCATCTCCGAACCCACTGAACGGACGCCGGCGAGACGCTCTATTTCCCCTCTGTTCACTGCCCTCAACTCGGTGAACGGCACGACGGCGGGAGAAGAGCCCTCTTTCCCGGCATATTTGAAGACAATCGAAGCTGGGACTCGCCATCCGGACATATTTGAAGTCAAACTATTTGTACTCGATTCCATGGCTTCAATTTCGGAGTGAGGTAGATACGTGTCACCGGGCCGGCAAGAGGAACCGTCATAAGAGAGAGGAACGCACCGACGACCGATGTTGGGAGAAGAAGGTTTCTATTTAAATTCTCCTTTGCGAAAACCCCTCCTCTCCGAAGAAACAGAGTCCGCGCAAAGATGCGGTGGTTTCTGCAAATCAAAATACGAAGCAGAGGTCGGGGGAGATGCGACTGGAAAGGGATCTGGGCATCTGACTCTTCCCTCACAGGGGCACTCGGACTTGGATTTTGCTTTCCCTTCCTCCTTGGATTTCATTGATGCAGGCATAGTTGAGCTGAAACCCTCGCCGCCGCTCCCTCAATCTGTCTCCTTCGAGCCAAGCCTCTTGTCGTTCTTAATTTATTCCATACTTCGACAAGATGGCAAAACGGTGGCCGCAAAGATGTTCCACGTCTACTGAACTCCGACAAGATTGGCCCAGTTATGACTCATTGTGGCCATTGGAACCTGGCGAATCTCTTGGCGACGACATTGATGACTGGAATTGGGTGAGTCAACAACTTGGATTTGGCTCCCCTGACTTTTGGTTCATGGATTTTCTTCCTGTTCATTTACCGCAAATAGGTAAAGTTCAAACCCAATTTGTTCATTGATTACTTTCTTTTCTAATTAAATTGGCTATGCTTTTGATAACACTATTGTTTTTCACCCTTTGGCTGAATGAACACAAGTATATAGATCAGTGAATAGAGGCCAGTAATTTGAGATTGAACCCTATTTATTCATGGATTTAATTTGAGATTCACTGTGGAGGGTGGCGATAGAGCCCAGTAAAAGATCCCTGTACATTGAGTTACCTCTTGGACTTCCAATCAAACCAAGCCATGCAAATTCTTATTCAGATTGGCTTTATAGATCAAATTCTCATATAGCCTCTTATGATGATAGAGTTATGGGGCAATGGTAAAACCTACCTGACTTTTTAGTTTGATAGTGATGCATGCTATGGAATTGATTCCAAGTGTTCTCATTTTGCTTAGTCTGAGTTATGTTAATGTTGTGCATCTGCATAATTGTACAGGAGGTATTAATGTTGTTTTTTGTTCCTGTATGTGCAATGAGATTGGTATTCTTACTTTCCCTATTATTTGTTCATATTCAATGCAAAGGTGGATATTTCAGTAGGTTTCCTACAAGTAACCATATAATATTATAACAGAGAGGAGGTTGGTAGAGCTAGGGAAGTTGTCGGTCTCATGAGATTAACAAAGTTAGTTGCTTTGTCACCATTGCAGCAGTACTTTTTCACAAACACTTCTGAGGTTTCAAGCAGAATGCCAAAATCAGATGATAACTGAAGTGTTTTTTGTATCTTCAAACCTTTGTCAGTAGAAGAATGGAAGCTGCAGGGTGAATGCGGTAGTGGGAGGAGAGAAGGGAAGGGGGGGTTTTTGGGGCTAATTTCGATTCTCTTAACCCACATCACTATTCAATAAAGGGAATAATCAATAATCTCCTGCGACAACACCCACGAATCACGATACTGCTACTGCAACATACCCACGAAGCCTTTCTCGGCTACTTCCATGTTGTAATCCCATGCGGGCTCAGCATACCAATTACCAACAAAGCCTTTCTCAACTACTTCCATGCAATTCTGCAATGGGTTGAGCACGTTAGGCCTCTCTCAATGCGTTTTCTAAACACTTGCATGGTAGTCTACCAAACTCAGGCCAACAATTGTTAACCACGATGGAAATCTGACGTTGGTCATCGATTGAGGTGAGTTCACCATAAGTGTCTGCACAACCCTCTGTTCCACCATCTCTCCGCGGGAGTACTACGGTACATTAAATGTATGATGTATCCCTTCACCCCCCCCCCCCCCCCCCCCCCCCCTTTTTTTGCTATAAAAGCTCACAATTCACCATAAAACTCTCTATCATTAGATAACACAAAACGAAAACTTTGTGTAAGGCTATTCCATAATAGTTACGTAATTACATCTCTCTGTAGGAGTATTATGGTACGTTTAATGTATATCTTTTTCGTTTCGTTGTTTTTGTTATAAAAAGTTAAAAACTCAAAATTTACTATAAAACTCTTTATCATTAGATCGCACGATACGACAATTTTGTGCAACGCTATTCTATAGCGGTTATGTAATTAAAAATATATTACATAAAGCTTCCATAGCCACCATAAGTTATTTATTATTTGCATTAAACTGTGTTGTAAGTTAGGTGGTTCTTACATAACCGTATAATTAAGTGTAATATTTTTGTTAACTTAATTTTATTATTAGACTGCATCGTACGAAAAATTTGTGTAACACTATTCCATGAGAATTACGTCATTCCAATACATTGTATAAGATTTATGGAGGGTAGTTATTTCTTATATATCACTTAAAGAAAATGTATTCCTATTCCGTATTGTAAAGCTTAACTAAATTATAAAATATATGGATAAACTTTCAAATATCATTAGTTTCTTTCCGCTGCGAAGCGCGGGCCAAAACACTAGTATTATCAAAAGAAAGTCAAGAATATTGTAAAAACTAAAAAAGGAGTAAGGTATATATTATTTAAAAACTCTTGTTGGAGTATGAATCGTATATCAGTAATCGAAGCAATGCTCAGTGTCGGTGGCTAATAAAAACAAGTGACTTATTAACAACAATATTATAGACACTTATATAATAACTTATCTAGCTTTCTAAATCAACATATATATGTAAGTCAACGGGGAGTTCCCACAAATTGTAGCTAGTGCGCTCCACGGGCTAAACGAGTGGGTCGTGTACCTGCCGGCTGCCAGTACGAGTGAGCATCAGTCCACTCCGGACAGGATCATACTCAAGAGAATCACGATCCAATAGTGAAAGATATCTTAGAATCAAGGATCGGACCTATAGTGCAATCAATCCACTTTAGTCCATTTGGCATGATCTAAATGTAAATTATGTCCATTTTTCTTCAGTATTTTTAAAATTCATTGAACCAAAAACCGGATCATATTATATTCAATTCGATTTGGTCCGATGCAAATATCGATTCTGTCCTATACGGAATACTGCCACAATCCAAGACTGGCTCATCGCTTGAAATTTTAAGGTACAACTTTTTATCTTCATTCTAGCTCTGGCTGAGGATCAATGGCGACAAATCTTCACCAGCTTTCTACGATCAAAAGCAGCTTGAATACTGGCAACCCTACAGCAAAAACACAGTACTAAAACACAACGAAGTTACATTAGATCCACAAGAGATTACAGTTAAATGAATACACTTTTAGTGCTTTGGCATTCGAAGAACACTTAGATTAACACCTATTTACAACAAACTGCCGAAGAAATTTTGGAAAGGAAAAAGATGGAGTTTCAGCAATTCCCTTTCAATTCAAATGCCATAGTTGTCCCTCCCCAGCTACAGAACATTCGGAAGCAGAGTGATAGTTAGTAGGATTGAACTCCGCACCCAACCTCGCCTCCTCTCCTTGGCAACCATCAATCGATTCTACGTTTTCTGCTGAGGAGGAGACAAACCCAGCCAGGGAAGTGTTTCATTATGTTTGCTGATTGGTAGCAGTGTGATATCCAAATTAACGACGCTGCTGACACATTGCACATATGGTGGCTGATTTGATGTTAGCAAATGTGCAAAGTTCACAGGACCAATGACCTGAATCGTCAATGCCTCCTCTACTAAGGCCGCCACTTGACCTGGATGTTGACCCCTTGCCTCTCCCACCTCTTCCCCTACTGCTACTACCACCACCACCACCTAATATGCTTTTTGAGCTTCCGGTCCTACTGGTGCCTCCATGAACATCCACATCTGACAGACCATTCTCTAAAGCCCGGACTAAATTTTCAAAGTAGTTCCGAGTGACACTGTCATGCAATATTTAATGCTAGAATATGAGTCCAGGGACCAACCAACACAGATAATTTCATAGAGGAAAAAAGTTTACTGACAAATACCTTGTCAATCCAGCAAGCTTGGTGCGAAACTCATTGAAATCTTTTGAAGGGCCCTCAGCAGTCAGGTATACTTGAAGCTCCTTCTCTGCGCACTGATGAAGTCTCTCTAAACCAGACTCTGCCTCACCTGTGCGCTAGCACATGCTTAGGACAGGAACAACCAAGTATAACCATCCAACAAGTATAAATAAATAAATAAATAAAACTCCTTACCTTGCAAATACTCAAAGAACTGCCTCTTGGCATGCTCATGTTCAGGTAAATAATAACCGTAGGAGTAGGTCCACTTCAAAACCCGGCGACATTCAACTATCTACAAACAGAACACAGTCCAGCGAAATCAATTTAAAGCCAAGTCAGCTTCTAACTTTGCATTCTGTTACTACATGAATTATTTACCTGTAACCACGCCTCAGTTATAAACTTCAGCTGGGATTCAGGTTGGCATTGATTGTCACTCAGCTTCTCCAGCTACAAAAGCAAGTAATTAGTCACTCCATTACACAGGAGAGAGCACACACGGTTGCAGTGCTAGACTGAATTTGAGGTATCAACGGATGGTTTGGGGATGTGATTTGGAGCATGGATTTAGAGAATTCATAGATTCAGCAAAAAGCTATGCTTTTTTGCTGATTTAGACAATCTATAGAATATCAAATCTCTAATGTAGAGATTCTATATCTTGATTTATGAGATCTTTTTCTCCCCAACTCTATCTTCCTCTTTATTTATCCCGCCAAATACCCTTAAAAATAACAACAAGACTTTCCTTCTTTTACGAATTATATTAATGGTAACATTGTCATTTGATGCAAAATAAGACCCGGTTTTTCATTTACTATCAACAGTTGCCAACAATTAAAAATTAAAATCATTTTTCAACAATCAAATGAATTAGGATCTTTGGATTCTTTAGAATCTAGGGATATAACTCTAGTCATCCAAACGACCCTAAACTTCAATTATGATCATGTCAGGGCCTAACATCACTTGCCTCCAAAACAACTAGCTGTTTACAAAATAACCCGTAAAAGTTCCTCTACTTACATGCACAGTTTGCATCTGCTGCAGGTCTGCCAATGCTTTTTGCCTTGACTACAAGAAGAACAAACAAGGTCAGAGACACGATGTTGACATTCCACTCTCGATTTGTTGGCCAAGAAGTAACCATATAATGTAAATGATACAACTATCTGGTTTGTTTCACTTACCAAAAAAAGTAATAACTCAATGATTCTGGATTTTGGAGGTAATATTGATTTTCTCGCCCTAAGTTGTTACTTGTTAGACAACCAGCCATGAATCAACGAAACAAAATTTACATTGCTTGAAAGGACATGAAAGGGAAATCCAAAATGCAGTCCCACAGCATGAATAAGCACCATGGAAAAAAAAAATTATCTACATTTATAAGTCTTCCAGTTCTCATAAGCTACACCAATAAAGACCTAATAGCATTTACCATTAAAATTTATGGTACTTTTCATTCAGATTACCTACATATTCAGCCATCCATGGCATCTGTCAGCAACAGTCACTCACAAGAAATAATGAAACACTCGACTAACATCAAGGCACTCTAACAGCATTCTTAGAAACTGAATAGCCACAAAATACACTTACTGATTGATTTGTTGCCCATCGTTCATAGTAATGTGTATACCTCTCTAGCGAGTTTTTGGCCATCTCTCTTCTCTTCTCGGCCTCGTCGTACTAAATCAAAAGGTTTAAACCGAATACAGAACAGAAATTTTATAATGATTACAAGACACAGATTGCCATATAGGGAAAAGAACACTTAAGGAAACAAAAAGTAACCATAAAGAGAATATACCACTCCCTCCTGCTTTGCTGTCTCATAACGGTTACATGCATAAAACCCACCAGTCCTCTCCCCGTGTTCTGTCCAAGCACCAAGGCAAAGCCTGTAATCAAACAGATTTTGGAATGAGCTACGGCATCATACATCGATCAAGCATCCAAAAAGTGTACTTCAACGCTGTAAATGCCAGACAATCCACATTTTTCTTATGAATCAGTCGTCCATACATGATGTTGTAACAACCCATCCTAATTGTAAAAGAGATTACATATATGATATGGAAAGGTTCTAAAAGCTCAAGTTGGACAATAAAAAAAAATGGCAGTGGAATCCAATCCACAGATCTGACGCTAGAGACCTAGTCTGATGGAAAGAATCGAAATGAATCCCACCTATCTATAGTCCTCAAGGAATGAAAATATGAACCCAGGGAATAGAAAAGGTTATCGCCTGTCGCTTACCAGCAAAATTCAAATTTACAGGGAGGGGTGCAGGTAATATGCATGCAGCCTTGGTTCTTCTCAATTGGCCGCTTGCACTTAGGGCAAGGCTTGGAATTAGCTAATATCCTGCAAATTAAACCAGCAAATTATGCAGTGAGGCACATAAAAGAATTAGGATAGCTTCTTAATAATGTTTCCCTGCCACGAGCAAGACAGAGTTGGAACACTGACCATGAGCCATTACCCAGGTCACATGGCATGAATCCAAATGCCAGGGGAAAAAAACAGAAACTATTTCCTTCACAACCACTCTTTTATTGCCTTTTTTATCCATCTTTTTTCATAAGTCCTTTTCATAATGGAATCAATTTGAAGTCATGAAGCCTGTTGTCTGCACAACAAAATAAACTACTTCTAGCATAGGTCGTCAACTTTAGGTTTATCCTAGTTTCATTATCAAGAGAAATTATAAACAACTGAGGGCCCTGCTTAGGGTGAACCAGCATGTATGTACGTATGAAGGAACATCAGGGGAAGGGAACAAATGTACTTCTGCTTTGAGAAGTATCAGTCAAAATCTCATCAATCTACCAGAAAATAATTGTACTTCTGCTTTGAGAAAAGTTGGGGCTTTGGGGAAAACCATTATGGGCAGAAATACATGCAGTGAAAAACACAATAGGACAGGGGATTTAGGCTTAGCTCGAGGTTTATTTATGCACAGCTAAGTTTAAAATGTGGACAAGCAGATCCGAAACATCCAGAAAACAATCGGGGTCAACAATAAGTGATCTTCATGCATCACAAATAATTCAGTTTCAGGCATGATACCATTCAACCGGTAAAAAGCTGAAGTTCCATAACAGATCAAGTATGTCTAGGATGGCAGACTAGTAAACCTAAGGCCAACATCTAAACAGATCATGTTGTACTCTTAGAAGAGCTCTAATAAAATAAGGTTCCAGGCTCTGAACATAATCTATTGATCCAAAATGAACCTGTCTTTCCTCCACAGCATGCATACCAGCTTAGGAGGGTACTTCACCAAGGTTCTCCTGGTCCTTGTTCAACACATTCAAAGCTCAGTGAAAATAAAAACACGTGCAATTCTGCACACCCTAAAGTTCCAGATTGTTCTCTGATGGTTATTATGTGCTACCATTGCTGAACAAATAACAGCAAAGCAACATGACAGACGAGGGTCTGGGACTAGTGAGATCAGCCTATATAAGTGTAGTAGTAGCCAACAAAGCTTACCAAAATAGTTAATCAATTCACCTAGTGCATATTCAGTATAGTTCCGTTTCTTTTCTTGGAGGAACCAATAAGTACAAGCGAATATATAATTGTGGTCATCTTAAATACCAGTTCATGTTTTCAGACTCAGCACTGTTCTTCAGAATCCACTTGGCTACAGTTCCACAATCAACAGGCCTGTGAGCTTCCTCTGTACACTACAGTTTATAGCAATAGAAGACCATCAGATACATGCCGATCAGCATCTACACCTAAGAATTATATCAGGCCGAGTAGCTCATTCATTATGCATTCAAGAAAACCTACACTCCAGCAAAAGCTATATGAACAGCGGCAAGTGACATCATAGCTCCCACTGCCAACAATAAAATCCACAGCATAATCACAGCCTGGAGCAGGACACCATTTGGTCTACAAGATAGTGCAAATGAAATTCATTCAGTAATCACATAAAGAGCATAATATGAACAAGATAATATTACCGCCCCAGGGAAGAGGGGGGGTGAGGGGGAGAGAGAGTTATTTCAGTCATAAGCAAGTACAAAAGCTGCAGGAACAATGTAGCTATCCTAAAACTCTCTAATTGCTCACTGAAATTACATTGATTTTAGTACAGAAACACAAGAACAGAATTTCAGCAGCATCATGGCCCAAGTTAAACAAGACAGCAGTAGATTATGATTCAGGTAGTCTTAGTTCTGAAGGTACACTCAGTTTGGTTTCTGACACAGGAAGCATACTTGTCTGTCCTAGTAGTATGCCATCTTTTATGGCAACAGAAGATAACCATTTAAGTCACTTAGGCGTACTCTATGTTCACAAGAGAATCCCTGCACTGACAGAGAAGAGATGGCGTGCAGATGCAGGTTGATAAACAGACAACTAATAAGCAGAGATCGTTCAAAATTACTAGAGGTCTATGTACAAGATTCAAAGACTAGTTTCTTACATTAGACTTCAAACAAAAAATGGCCGTAGGACACTAAAGGATAAGAAAAAACATATTGCTACAATCAATTGGTTTTCATAAGGTATATTCCAAGCCTACTTTACTATAAATATGATCATCTCAGCCAATGCAATCAATCAATGAATTGGAATAGTGCACATTTTATAGGGGAAGCGGAAATGCTTATCATACTTGCCCGCAGATGTCCATTTTGAGCACATTGGTTCACGGCAGAACTAACATTAAGATGAAAAGAAACCGAATCTTCACTTTTGAAATTGAAATATTGGATGATCTATCAAGGACAAAAGTTTATTGCCATAATTAAAAAAAAAGTAAACTTTAACCAAGATCAAGAAGAAAAGTTACCTTCCTGTTATCCTCAATGTAAGATCTGACAAAGTAACGAATGTATTTATCCTTATCTTCACCAGATGCCAATGCATTAATCATATCTTGACCAACGGCAGCGGCACAAGAGGGATCAGGGCATCGCAACATCAAACACCCAGGACCATCGTTAATTGCAGTGCTAATATAACCTGGAGGAGAAAAGAGATTGAAGACAAATAATTCCAAGAAATTTAGTCTTATCATTCTAACATGATTACCAGATGCCAAGTGTAACATATTTTTTTACAAATCAAATGCTTTACAAACTTTTCAAAGGATGGGATAGGAGAATATCGAATGAGGCCACGACACTGAACTATAGTGAAACTTCGGTTCCTTCTCTTCTACAACTATAGTATTAACATATTTAGGATTATCTACTCAGATATCATGAGTTCAAGAATGCAACTATGATGTGATCTGCGAACTTCCATAATCTTCCCAACAGTTCATTTATCAATGGCGAACTAGGAAAGGAACCCCAAAATTCTCCAAACAAAGGCAAGAACTATCGTGACCAGAGAACTGTATCCATGACAGGACAAAGTGACACACTTGTCCATTAACCATTAACAACATCACTCCGTAAACTTTAGGTTCCTCTTCATCTTCACAGGCCAGTCAAATTTAAAATGATACTGACATTAAACATTCTACACCACAGAAAACTTATCCAGCTTTTCCTTCTGAAATTGAGTAAATTACTTAACTAGAGTCACTCTGCAGAATGTAAACACAAGCAATGCATGCAAAGCTAGTCCAAAGGTTAACATGTGAAATCTGATCACCAATAATTTAACACTGGCAGAAAATAATGGACATGCAGCAAGAGAGAACAAATTGCTAAAGCTTATTCAAGCATCTAATCTCAGCATTTCTTTTTGTTGTTCATTTTTGGACGAATAGGTTGATTCTTTGGAAATCCAGGGACATCAGAACACATAATAAAGAGTCGGTACTTTTGACAAGAACTTTCAAATCCAAACTAATTGATTTACTCATCCAAGTAAATCACTCATAATGCTATGTGTGCAACATAATGCAGCTGGCAGACAATCACTTCATTTCAAGAGTTTCAAATCACTCATATCTAATAATTTTAACAATAAATTATTATTATCCCTAACTGCCACTGAAAATATTTTCCTAGTGAATTACCTTCATACTGTGACTTGATATTTCCAGTAGACCAAGAGACATGAGCCAGTCATTATATGATACTATGCCTTTTGACAATATCTTTCGCACGTCTAGATGATAAGGGCACTGAAATTGATGTTTTGAAGGAAATGCAAAGCCATATAATCATGAGACTTTAGTGTAAATAAACATTTAATCATCAATATTTGAGATATTGTCATTTCTTCTTCCCAGAAATTACATAACTTCAACTCGATACAACCATTCCAGGTTTCATAAACTTATTCGTATAGCTTACACTGCAGTTGGCATGAATAATCCTTTTCCACTCCACAATCACAGACGGACTCAAGCGACAGAAACGAACAAGCATGAGAATCTTCAAGGTTACCCACCTGCCCAGCAAGTCTTACAAAATGGATGACCACACGCAGCTGCATGAAGTCTGTCACACGGATAGGTTTCAAAACAAATCCCACATGTCATCTGTCGAAAAAGTGGATGTGGTAGGAGGATTAGAATGAAGCGGAAACATGCCAAATGGAACTGAGCAAGCACATAACTTTATGTAAATCCCCAGGAATCTAATAATACATCATGAGAAAGAAGGATTGCTTACTTCTCTACCATCGGGAAATGGCACGACAAGTGCCTCCAATAAGCCAACAGCCTTACGTACTCTCGCTTCGTCAGCAAACCACTCATCATGAACTTTACTGACACTCCTAGAAGTCCCAGAGGAAATGGAAGAAGAAGAAAAAAGGAAACTGTAACTAGAGATAGATGCCAATGCACAGACCTGAACGAGAGAAAGAAAAAAGAAGAAAAAACAAATCCCAGTACCCATCCAAGCTTATCTACAAAAAACATGTAACCCTTTTGAGGACTAACAACTGCGGTTTCATCATTTCATCAGTCATCAAATGGTCAATGACACTGCCTAAAACCAAGTAGAAAACTTTTCGCACCTCTAGGAACAGGTTTTCCCCAGCCTTAGTCATACCAGTTATAGTGACGGAGGAGGATGCTGCCAGCAACCTTAGAAATAGAAAGCACCGTAGATATTCTCGCCACATCATCGTCCTGACGGCGACGAATGTCGGCTTCGCTCAAAATCGTATAATTTTGCTAAGAGATAGAACAGAAGAAGGGAAGCAGTTAGTCTTACAAACGAAGGGTGATGCTGAAGAAGTGCATGGGAAACAAAGGGAGAAAGCTGAAATTGTTGAACTGAGGAAAAATCATCGGCAGACCTGGTGGCGATGTGAGACGAGGTCATCGGAATCGTCGGAATCATTGTCGATGAACTCGTAATCATCAGCGTCGTCGGTATCGAACCCATCGTCTCCACCGCTGTAGAAATCGTCTTCCGCAGATTCGGCAGCGTCTTGCATATCGAAGTCATCCTCCGATTCCATGAAAGCTACGCTCACGCAGAATGGGGAATGAGGAGGACACGATGAAGGAGAGGAGCCAGAGGGAGAAAGAATGGTTTGGGGAATATGAGAGAGCGAATCCGGAAAAGGAGGGAGGAAATTGATTGGAAGAAGAAAAGGGGAAATGGAGATGCGATGATGATCAAGCTGGGGCATCAACCGTCAAAATGAAAATTGATGAATTGAAGAAAACAAATGGAGAAGAGATTGCCTTTTTTAGAGAGAGATTGGCTATATACTTTTTACCGGGAAAATAATTCCATTGAGATTTGAGAATTGGGGAGACATATCACTAAACTTAGAATATAGCGTCGAGTATTATTAACGTCATAAAATTGTGTATTCGTTTTAAATTCTACGGTTAAAAAGAAATAAAATATTATTTTTTTATGAAAATGTTATAATAATATAAAAGAAAAAGGGGGAAATTAAAGACAAAAAATGGAATGAAATTCTGTTGCTTCTTCCTCGTTCAGGTGAAGAACTCCCGGTGTTGGATGTCGATTAGTTTCTTGACCTCCCTAAAGCTGTGGTTTAGGAGATGATTAGGTCGTCCTTCCGCCAATGTTGCTGGGTAGTCAGTAATTCCAACTTCACGACACCTCATCTCTCGACTTTTGCGATTCGGTTGTCCCAATAAACAAATCCTTTGGAGAGACCACTAAAGATAGCGGACCTTTCCACAATAATCACCAATGAATTGTACTTTTAATATGATATGGTATCGCATATATAAACAGATATCCCTACCCATCCTAGGAGCAAACTCTCCCATCTATGATCTATCTCACGCCACATCTGTATCCACTAGGCGGAGCAGCTCAAAGCTTTAAAGATCCAAAAAGCAACCGGTAATTGCAGTCGCTGGTGAGATCAGGAATCCAATTAAAACTAAAGAGTTAGATTAATTTGGTTCACGTGAACGAACAACAACCAAGTTATCTCCCAAACCACAGTTTTGGGGAGGTCAAGAAACTAACCGGCCGTCCAACGGTCGGAGCTCGTTTGTTCTTCACCTGAACGAGGAAGAAGGAACAAAAGTTATTCCAATTTTTCCTTTTTCTTGTATATTATTATAACTTTTTTATCAGAAAATAATAATCTATTTTTTTTTAACGGTAGATGGGCGGAATTTTAAACGGATGCACAATTCTATGACGTTAGTGGTACCCGATGTCCTATTCTAACTTTAATGGTATATCTCCCTCAATTCTCATACTTTAGTGGTACCCGAGGTATTTTGCTCTTCCATTTACTAACTGTTCGGTAGGGGGTGGGCAACGGTGCGTAACCGTCCCGTTTGAAACGGGTACCCAATCCTATTTGTAGAGGATACTTCAACCCATGTCTCAAACTCGTATGAGTTAATGGGTACTACTTGCTCGTAGGAGACGGATAACGGATACCCACTGGTAACCCATACTTCCTTCCTTCTCAAACGAACCTCTCTACCCGTCCTTTCACCCATTTCCATCTCTCTGTCCTTCCACCCTCACGCAGCAATTGTTGACGCGATTAAAGGGGATGACGGCATGGAGTACATCCTCGACAACCCAACCACGACGAGGTTCCAGTCTAGGAGTCTGTTCCTTAATGAGAGGATCAGGAAAGGGATGCCCTGCTCACCCGGCGGCAGCAACATATGCTCTTGAGAAAGGGCTAGCTTAACTTGTATGCTCATATGAATATCATGATCTGTTCTAGATGCTCTGATATTTAGTTAGAACTTAGAACCGTGTTTCCTCTTGTTTAATGATGTGTAAAAGCGGAAATTGATAAAAGTCTAACATTGAAGTTACTATTCATTAGTGACTCTCGCATAGCATGGAGGCCCCAACAATATATTATCTAGTAGAGAAGATCTGTTCAGAAGCCACTGAATGGGGTAGTGAGACCAGTATTCGAAGAAGAGGAGGCTTGCATGAGGTTGACAGAGCTACAAGTCTAGAAGCCAAGATAGATGCCAAGCTAGATTCTAAGTTCGATGCACTCGAACGAAGGCTAGCCAAGATTGCTATGGGTAGACAAGAGCAGGTTGCTTCATGTGAACTTTGCGAGGGTCCTCATCATCGGGATATGTGTCCACTGGGAGCTACTCAGTTGGAAGATGTCCAATATATCAATAATCCGCGAAGTCAAGGCCAGGGTGGTATTTATTCAAATACATATAACCCTCAATGGAGACATCACTCCAATATGTCATGCTCAAACAATAATCTAGCTGGTGTTCGTAACATCCCACCTCCTGGTTTTCAACAGCAGCAACCTCAACCAGAGAACAAGCCCCAGCTGGAGGAGTTGATTTTGGCTCATATGTAGAAAACAGAAAATAATTTCAAGGGTCTTGATCAATTTGTCACTCAACAGCTAGGCATCAACAACAATGTGCAATCATCTCTGCTAGCTATGGAGAGACAAATAGGTCAGATGGCTCAAACTTTGACAGATATTCAAGGTAGGATTCCGGGGACTTTACCAGCAAATACTGAGAGGAATCCGAAGGATGCCATGGTTGTAGCTGTCACATTAAGGTGTGGAAAGGCCTTGGAGGATCCAGAGAGTTTGAGGAAGTCAACGAAATTAGAAAAATAAGGAGCTGTAGAGGTAGAGGATGAAGAAAGTGCAAAAGCTGAAAAATCTGAATTGCACAGGTAAACTGCATGCAATCTGCCTGTGCATGAGCATTCTGCCTGTGCACCTCCAAAGGTGGAAAAATTCAAGAATGAAGAGGTAAAGCCTTATGAACCTCCCGCACCATTCCCTCAAAGGTTAATAAAGCCCATGGAAGACCCAAACTTCAAGAAATTTGTGAATATCTTCAAGCAACTTCAAATCAACATACCGTTGGCAGAGGCACTTGAACAAATGGCTACATATGCTAAATTCTTAAGGGAGTTGCTGACAAAGAAGCGCAAATGGGCTGATTTAGAGAAGGTAACCCTTACTTCTGAATGTAATGTTGTGATTCAAAATAAACTACCAGAAAAGAGGGATGATCCATGGAGCTTCACCATTCCATGTGTCATTGGAGGTAGAGAGTTTGATAAATCACTTTGTGATCTTGGAGCAGGAATTAATTTAATGCCATACTCGGTCTACAAGAAATTGAGATTGGGAGATGTTCTTAAGCCTACTCGGATCACTCTTCAATTGGCTGATCGATCAGTGAAATTTCCAAAAGGAGTGGTGGAAAATGTATTGGTGAAGGTGGGGAAGTTTATTCTCCCTACAGATTTTGTTATTCTGGAGATGGAAGAAGATCAGGGAGTGCCTCTAATTCTTGGCAGACCTTTTCTAGCAACTAGTGATGCACTCATCGATGTTGGGAGAGGCAAGTTGACATTCCGAGTAGGTAAAGAGTAGGAAATTTTTAATGTCTTTCAAGTTGATCATAATCACGATGCATTTGATGACTTTGAAAGTGGAGCTCGAGAAAGGAAAAATTCTTCTTCCTGTGATAGTGGATCATTTGAAGAATCACTTGTCGTATCAGCTTAAATTCCGAAATCAAAGCAAGGACAAAAATCCTTACCAGGTCATCTCAAGTATAGATATTTGGGTAAGGATTTCAATCTTCCTGTTATTATTCCTTCTTCACTGTCATTGAAACAGAAAGAGTACTTGCTTGAACTAATACAACGATTTTGTGTTTTATATTTGTCACGAACTAAACCTCAATTTATGGGGGAAACACCATAGGATGTAGCTATTTCTTGACTTGATGGATTGATTCATAATTTTTTTCTTCCAATCTCTATTGCATGAAGTTACTTAATGCTTTGTGTTGACTGGCCACCAATACAACGATTTGTAGTTAATTAGGTTATTAGCGACAGTGAAACCCTAATAACTGAACATATTTCACGTGACATAGTAACTTATCAAAGCGATAGTGGATTAAATAAGATGCTATGTGGTCTTGATTGGGATGTCGGTCTTAAGGCTAAATAGTTAATTCATTGAGCTACGAGAGTAAAATTTGAATTAATTGTTTAGTACGTAGTAATTCCCGACAGGGATAGCTAGCACAGTAGTGATATCCTGGCTGTAGAGGTATGGATTAAATTGATTGGAATATATGAATTAATCTGGATAGGATAGGTAGTGAATTCCGGTGTTTCTCCCAAAGCTTTCTCCATTGAATTTCTCCCGACCATTTTAATTTGCTTGTTTTGTTTAATTATTTTGCTATTAGATATAATTTCATCAACCAAACCATTTTCACCTATAGTTTGCTCTATAGAATCGATAAATCATAAGGTTGTACCAGTCCCTGAGAGACAATACCCGGACTTTCCGGTTTTACTATGAGATAGGAATTGAAGCAATACGCTTTTGCCCTATCAATGATGATGACGTGGTTACCATGATGTTACAGTTCCTAGCTGATAACGAGATACAACTTGAAGAGGTGTATCTTGAGATTGAGGCGGTCAGTGAAACTCATTCTCAGGAGTATTCTTATGATGATGGTTTTGTAGGAGGGTATGGATGGGGTGGTAGTTCAAGAAACTACGAAGGAGGTAGTTCTGGAGGAGGGGTGCCATGGGAAAAATACTCGTAACATTGTGAGCCTGCTCGATCATTCGATCTCGGAGTACTTCACATGAGTGAGAAGATGATGTTGGTGGTGCTGGTCATGATCCTCCTGGCTCAAGCTATCCATTCGTCTCCAATGGCAAGGAAAGTGAGGAAGATTTGAGATCAGTGAGCAAGGAGGAAGATGCGGACGACAAGGTGGCATTTCGTGAGCCACCTATGGCATACTATACAGAGGTTCCATCTCAATTTTTATATGGTCAGAACGATGCCCCTGAATTTCTCCCTATGCCCATGTATAATCGGATGACCAATTTGGAGGTGAGTATGACGTTCACTTCGAAGGATGCAGTTCAAGATGCTTTTAGCGAAGAAGGCATGAGGCGGAATTTCGAGTGGAGGGTAAAATATTCTGATGGCAAACTACTACATGTCATATGCAA